GCCACATGTTAAAAAAATTCCTTTCTTTTTTTTGTAGGTCAAATGTTGTCAACTAATGCATTTGTGTTACGTGACAAATTCAGTAATGTTTTGTCATAAGGACATAATAAACTAATATCACAAACAGGCAAAGTACATTTTACAGTGTGCCACTCCTGCCTTGTATCAACAGCTGAGGCTGAAAACGATGAAAAATGCTTTTTCATTTTGTAAACATATATTGGCTCAGTTATTGTCATAATGAGAACTTTCGTCTCTCTGAAAAATGTTTTTAACAGAATTCTTTGTCCCCTTAACTCCATTGTTTTTCCAGTGAAATGAAGTTGTATGTGTGTAGTCTGATGTGAGCTATAACTCTATCTGTCCGCTCTTTCGCAGTGATTTGACCGCACTGTTACGTTAAGGTGTTGGGGTCCAAATAACTTCACCACCAACTTGTGAAAAATAATAAGGAAGCAACACAAAAATGATGAAACAGTACCAAACAATGAAACGTGTACACCCTGTTCTCCCTGGTTGTTGACTTTTTGTTGTCTGTTTCCTGTAAATTTCCTCCCAGTACTTATAATTTAACATTTGAGACATACTTTTGCTATTTAGCCACTTCTTAAATTTATAGAGATCATCACTTTTTGGTGTTGGTGTTACATGTCTGATTTAGTATTGGTATATAGCTTGTTTGTCAGCTGTAAAATGTCCCATTTGGTGCAGACGTTGTTTAGAACTCTTGACTTTAAAAATGTCAGGGATCCTTACCAAATATGGATTTTCTGACATCATTTGCCACGTTAAAAAAAAAAGAATATCAGTTCATATATTGTTATCTATACTTTCACCATGTTAACCCTATTCAGGACTTTTGGGCTCTTTTGGACCTCAGGCCATTTGGTTTAGGTGACAGGTGTTGTTTTGTTTGAAGATCTTTTTTAAATATAAAAAGAGGGACATTTGTCATGCATTTGGAACCAAAAATACATCAAACTTAACAGAAAATGTATTTAACAGAGTCTAAAAGTCTATAATGAATGTCAACAAATATTTTTCACATATTATTTCTGGGGTCCAGTGGACCCTGAATGACCTTTTCTGTATGGCAACATGAAAGTCCTGAATCGGGTTAAAGATTCCTGTTAGCAAATCACAGCACAGTTAAAAAGCAGAAGTAGACATGCAATTGATTCTTGTGCCACCAGTAAAATAAGGAGGAAGCACTGCTGAAATGAAGCAACGTCGTGAGATGAATCCACCGAGGCAGAGATCATGTTTTGAAATCAGTTATTCAGAAATTCTGTGTAATTTTCCAGAAACATTTCCGACGGTCTGTCCTGAAAGTGTCTTATATCAGTAACATTTGCTGCATTTTGACTGATGGGATGTTGTTGGAATTTTTCAACAATACAATGTACTACACATTGACTGATTACTGAATGAACCTATCAGGTCACATTCACAGAGGATACAGTTTGTGTAGTTTGCTGTAGTATTTAGTGTAATATCTGTCCAGATGTTCACCAGTGTTGGACCTGCTGGACATTTTGAGTGAGACAGTTTCTCTTTATTTCTGCTGTGAACTAAATAATCATGTGTCGGTGTAGTCTTTAAACCCACAGCAGTCACCTGAAAGTTCTGTTTCACCAAAAGAATGTCATAAAAAGAGACACAAAACAACACAAAGAGAAACAAAAGTACCACTCAGTGATACAATATGACTATAAAGAAACACAAACATGACAACAACACACATAATGACTACAAAGAAGCACACAAAAACCCACAAAGACATACAAAGTACTACTAAGTAATGCAAAATGACAACAGGAGATACAAAACAACCACAAAGAGGCTTAAAATAATGCCAAAAAAATGCAAAAGTACAACAGAGTGACACAAACCAATAAAAAAGAATCACAACATGGCAACAAAGGGACACAAAAGCACAACGAAGTAACGCAAAATGATAAAAAAGCACGCACAACAACCACAATTTAACATAATACAACCACCAAAAGACACAACAGTACTGTGAAGTAATGAAAAACAACCATAAAGAGTCAGAACAACGAAGAAGTTGCCATGGTGATGGACGCAGCGGCCCCTTCAGGAGACAGTGACAGTTAAGGTTAAGTGTCTTGCCTATCTCAGATGTGCATTTCGAAAACTTACTAATTAAATGATCCTGAAGAAATGCTTTTTCACCTCGCCTGTACTACTGTGTATGTACAGCAAAACGACAATAAACTTGATTTAATTGAAAGACCACAAAGATGCATAAAACACGGCAAAGTAATTCAAACCAATGACAAACAGACACAAAATGACCATATAGGATGAAAAAAGACTGCAAATAGATGAGGAAAAAGCACAGAGAAACAGAACAACCACGAAAACTCCCAAAACTGAAACTCTAATGAAGAGACAAACATTAATAGAGCTCAGCTGGACTGCACATATGCTGAGCTCAGCATAAATGTGTTGCAGCCATTTGTCTACTTCTGTAGGCAATACAGGGGCTTTTTGGAAAGTAATTTAGAATAAAAAATAAATAAAATAAAATATATTTTTGAAAAAAGACTCATGAGAAAACATAACACATGTTGTAACAGAGGTGTAAACTTCCACTACTCTGTGTAGTGATGGTCTGTGACTAAATTTTTCTGATCTGACCACATGTGAGGGTGTGGAAACCTCAAAGATGAAAACATAATAGGAAACAAAAATGTCAAAACAACACCAAACAATGAGGCATGGTAACTAACACACTTACACAAACTCCTTCCCCTTTGATTTCATATTTTACTCACAAAACCCAGGACTCACGTGACAAGGTGTGAGATGTGGGTTGGTGTGAGACTGCACGGTCTGGAATAAACATGGCAACATGATGGCTTGTGTAAGTGGCGGTGAAACTTTCTGGGATGTGACGTCAAGACTGCATTATAAATACCTAACAGGACACCACTTACCCAGTACTTACAATGAAGTCATGACATCTCTACCCAGGAAGCTTTTAACACCTTGAAGAAAAGTCTAGCTGCCTTGTCCTGAAGCTCTTAGCCTTGCCAAATACAGATTTCCTTACATCTTTTGTTTTATGTTAAAAAGTAAACATTAGATCATCACATCTAGAACATCTGAATTTTACACATGTGAAATATTGACTCCTGTATTGGCCAAGTTGAATGTAATCATCGGAGTAGTAAATATAAAACACACTGAGGCCTGATGTCATGCCTCTACAGTGGTTGTTTTCCTCCTTGTCTGCATATAAAGTTCTGCTAAAGTAAAAGCATCAAAAACTACTTACAGTAACAAAGGGGGGAAAAGCATTTGTTTTTCAGTCAGACCTGTAAGTAGTGCACAGGTTGGAGAGGAAAGACTAAAGAGTTCTGCTCCTCTGATGATTTAGGCTTTGTAGTTTTTGTAGTCTTTGGTGATGATGTTAGTTGTATTATATGTTGTTGCAGGCTCAGCTTGTATAGACAAATGAGAAGGAAGCAATTTCATACTGAAGCATTCCTGTAAGCTAAAAATAATAAACAGCACACTACTCTCTTACACCGTAAGGTTAAATGTTTCAAACTGCAATGCCCAATCAATGACCTGCACACATCAGCAAATGTTTCCAGGATTTTCTGAGAAATTGCCCCTTTTTTTAGAAAGTATCCCATGACTGCAATTTCAATAAAGCTGAAACATTATGTCTGATTTGTCGGTGCATGCTTGAATAAAAGTATATGTTTAGATTAACGGGGAGTTTATCTCCCATCCATCCATCCATCCATCCATCCATCCATCCATCCATCCATCCATCCAATATCTATACACCACTTAATCCTCACTGGGATTGTGGGATGGCTGGAGCCTATCCCAGCCAACTGAGGAAGCCGGAGAAGCCAGAGAGAACCCACGCTGCATGGGGAGAACATGCAAACTCCACACGAACCGGCGACCTTCTTGCTGCGAGGCAACAGTGCTACCAACTGCAGCCCATTTTATCTCCCAGCTACTTTAAATAGAGGTTTAATCACTGAATCCCCTTCCTTCCCTAACTTTCCTCATGGATAACACTGTTTGCATTATTATGCAAAGACCGTACCAGGATTTAACACCTCCTAAACGACACACAGCAGGTTTTCATTGTGAATGGATTCTTTGATTCGCAACAGAAGAGTTTCCGGGGAGGCAATGCATGGTGAGAAGTCTGCGAGAATTTAGATTCAAAAACTTGAAGTAATGAGTTGACAAACTCTCAGCTGTAGGTTCAGTCAACTCATGGTCTTCAGCCAAAAGACTTCAAGCAATGTTTGTAAGTTCTGAAATAATCTGAAAATAAAACAAACAAAAATAGATATTTTAGGTTCAATTCACTAGAAATTAAGAGACCGTATGTGTTTATATTAAGTAAACAAGAAAATATTAATCAATTCCACTAAATTCCTGTTTAATATTTAAAATGTATATCTGTTATTTCACTGCAGACATGGTTGGACGGCACATGTCCATCTGACAGACTGTAGTTCTCCACCTGTCCAGCAGGAGTCCTCATAGAATCTCCACCTGTCCTTCATGCGCATCTCCCGCTGCTTCTCAGCACCTTCACTGTCCTAACTGCCTCCTTAGATCACATTAAAGCTGCTGACCGACTGCCTTTTACGCTTCTATTTGCTGAGTCTGCCAACAAACACCAGATAATCCAGATCCGAACCTAAAACGGGATCTAGGACTGATCCTGTGATTGTGGCAGCAGGAACAAGACGCGATTATTTATTGCACCTTCATGACATGTGTTCTCACAAATTAGCAGTTCGGACTCTTTCATAAAAAGACAAATCCCTCACAGCCGTCATCATCATCACAGTACGTTTATATAATCCTTTCTTAACCAACTCGCAGCGCTCCATGCGTCCTGGGCTGCAGCTGGACTCTGGCCAGGCTGCGCTCCGACTCCCTCTCAGGAACCAGGACCGGCTGCTCTCATCACACCCGCAGCGCTCAAACACACACTTCTCTCAGTTTGTTTCCAACTTCTGATGCTCAGAAAAACGATTGATAAACGCACAGCAGATCGATGTTTGGACTCCAACATGTTTTTCGTCGGTTCACGGATCATTTAGGAGTAAACGGAGAGTTTGGTCCTTTGCGCGGCTGTGAGGGCGCACTGCGGGCCTTCCTTTAGCCAGCGGGGGCGACACACCGAGACCGGTGAGTTTTATAGATGTGTGTATATATATAAATCGTGGTTTTAAATAACTATTTGTTGACTGCAGCCTCATAAGAAATCCTTAATAGTCCTACAATAAGTGCGTGGAGTCTGTGTGTGCGTCACTGGCAGAAAGTTCAGTTCGGTAGTTTTGGATACTGTGATGTCCGTTTGTTCAACCTCCTACTAAAAAACTCAGAATTGCAATAGTTGTCACAGTAGATCCTCAGACAGCTTGACTTGCATCCATGTTGTCTGTACTCATAGAAAAGCTTCATGTCTGACTGAAACAGAGATTTCCTCCTCAGGAATGCTAATGCAGAAAAACCTAAATCCTGCTCGGTGTTAATTCCTCTGATTTACTTGTGTAAGTGGCTTGTTGGACGTCAAAATGCGTTTTAACTGCTTGTGCACACAGTACTGTTCTTTATAGTGGAAGGTGCTTGTGTGAATGCAGATAATACAGTTAGATGCTGTGGTGGCCACATGGGGCCTCCTGCAGGAGACCAGACTGAGGTGATTTGTAGTATTTTATAACAGTATTGAAGTTCTTTAGACAGTTATTCAGAAGCTCCATTCTGTAAGTGCAGTATGAGACTATCACATGCTGTACTTAGAAGTACTCAGCTTGAGTAAAAAGTAAAATATTAATTTCAAGTAAAAGTACTTCAATAAAAAACCCACCAAAACAGAAGTATTATCAAGTGTACTTCATTCTGCACAAAACTGCTCTCATGACAGGCATTAAGGCACGAGCAGCGTTTTAAGTCAGTTTCTTTTTGGTAGTTCAGTCCAGTGTTTCACAACCCTGGGGTCGTGGCCCCCCAGTGGGTCACAAAGTCAATCTGAGGGGTTGTGAAATGATAAATGGAAAAAAGTTCATATTTATCTTAAAACATTCTTGCATTTAAAAAAATAATTATAATTTGTATGAGAAATAATCAATTTGCTCCTTCAGATGTCCTTTTTGGAGCTGCTAATAACTTATTATCACCTGAGTTGCTACAAGCTAAAAAGACTGAAAAACTATAAAAATATGTTTCATGTTTTCAAAGATGAAAAATCTTAAGTTGAAAAGTAACAGGCAAAGCTACTCTTTAAACATGACAGAGCATAATTCTTCTAACATTTAGTAGAGTATACCATAAAATACTACAAAATGAAAGTACAGGTTCATCAAAATTGTTCTAAAGCTCAGTACTATAGTAAATGTACTAAACCATACTGGCTGTATATTGAGGATTTTGTGTGTGTGTGTGTGTTTTGTGCCGTATTTATTTGTGTTTTAGATGACAACGGAACGCTGGTTGATTTCTCAGAGGGGTTGAGCTTCAGCCGCAGCCATGGGCCGGAAGCTGGACCTGTCGGGTCTAACAGACAGCGAGGCCGAACATGTGCTGCAGGTGGTGCAGAGAGACATGAAGCTCCGCAAGAAGGAGGAGGAGCGACTCAGGTGAGTGACGGAGGAACAGGTCAGAGTCCTGAACCGCACTCAATCATCGAATTCATGACATGTTCATCACTTTACAATGACTCATTCCCTTATTCTTTCACATCCTCATGAGGCTGAAAATCTGTATTTTCTACTTGGGTCAGTTGTGGAAGAAGCATTCAGACGATTAAAGTAACAAAAGTGATCATAATAAAATGCAAAATTTCAGAATAACATTGACTGTAATAGGTTATATTTATTGATAAGTTGGTGGTAAAGATGCTAAAGGTTACTCTCACTGTTCTCAACGGTGTCCAGATACAGTGGGCGGCTGTTTTTATAAGAAACACTTTGACAACACACTTCACACGAGCTTCAAAGCTCCAAAGAAGGTAGACAAAGTAAGTGGTGAACACAGTGAGCATTTGTCAGATAAACCAAAACAGAGCAAAAGCGGAGAGAACTGTTAAAGTTGCTCTGTATCTGCTGGATGAGTGAATGAGCTACTGTCGCCCAATAAGCTCATTATAATGGTTTGAAAAGATAAAGAACTATGTTGAAGCTCTGATTGTACTGATGTCCTCAAGTGGCCAAAAATGAATGGATGCAGGTATAAAGGGTCAGATTCACAGTTGGAGTTTTTTATTTTCATTAGCCTGCATCAGTTGTAACTGAAGTCAGACTAATGTCACAACATCCCTGTTTGTGTGAGTCAGGAGATAAATGAAAGTTACAGCAGTGAAAGCAGACTACAATGAACGCTTTACATAAGAAACTGTGGACCCACAGGAGCCTCGTACCCTTTTTGTTCTAGTTTGTATTCGAGACATTTTTTTTAGACCTTGGTGGAGATTTCCCTTCCTGCCTCTCTGCTCTGAGGTTTGTCCTGAAAACACTGGAGAGGATGTGAAGGCCTTTCCTGTTGCACTCAGACAGCTTCCTCAAGTCACAATAATGTGGTAATTAGACGCATTTGAACTGAGTCTGTGATGCAGATCAGAGTCTGAGACGTGCACAATAGCGGGAAATGATTAGTCTTTGCTTGCTGCTCAGAGGTTTAGAATAACATGGTTATGTCATTTCCCTGTGACTCTCAAGTTATTCCTCAAACGTGATTTAGAAAGCATTTACATCTTACAACATAAATGCTAAAACACGACCACACATACGAGCTTGAAGGCCTTCATGTGCACATTTGTCGTGATTACTTTGGACTTTGTGTATGTTGCTTTTGACAGTGTGAGTTCACACCTGCAGTCATTTGTTGCAGCTTAACAGAAAATGTGGTTTGTGTCCAAAATCCATTCCAGTCTGCTCAGAAAGCAGATTATATAACTTCTAATAGGATAACTCCTGTTTACTGTAGTTGCTGTTTGTGTCTGTGCGCACACTGTTTATTAAACATGTCATTTTTTAAATGAGTGAAACATTCCACTTGCTTTTAAACAAATTATTTCCTAAATTTTCAGAATACTTCAACACATACCCAAATAAATAAGGTGCACATCGTTTTGTTTTTTGTTTTTATTTACCCTTTATTTAACTAGAAGAAGGCTCATTGAGATTAAAAATGTCTTTTTCAAGAGTGTCCTGGCCAAGACAGGCAGCAGCCCAACTGACAGACAGACAAGGTCCCAACAACATCCAGACAGACATCATACTCGTAATACATGGTGAAATTACATTTAGAAGATAAGAAACAAACATATCAGCAGAGATCAGAAACATAACTAGCAAAAGTAATCATCTTTCAAAACATCTACAGACTGATGCTTTTGCCTCCAAGTCATTTCTAAACACTTTAAAAATGTTTAAAGAAACCAGCTCTTGAAGTTTCGGATCTTTTTGTGAAGTGTTCCAGATAGAGGGAGCAGTGAATTAAAAAGCTTTCTTTCCCCGTTCAGTTCTAGCCTTAGGAACAGACAGTAGCAACAGATCCTGGGACCGCACACTGTAACCAACTTTTGTACAAACAAAAACCTGTAAATAATGAGGAAGCAAGCCTAAAATACATTTATAAATTAAAATATGCCAGTGTTTTTCCTTCTTGTGGTCAAATCTGAGCATCCAGCACGAGAGTACAACAAACAATGGTGTGTAAAATACTTAAAATTGGTGATAAACCTCAAAGTACCGTGATACACTGAATCTAAAACACTTTGAGTGGAAACATTTGTGTATATCATATCTCCAGAGTCCAACACAGACATAAAAGTGGCAGCAACCAGTCTCTTTTTGGCCTCAAAAGACAGGCAAGACTTGATTCTAAAATAAAAACCCAGTTTCAGTTTTAGTCTCTTTGTCAGCTGCTGGATGTGAGGTATGAAAGAGAGACAGTCATCGATTCAAATTCCAAGGTATTTATACTGAGACACTAGTTCAATCTGTACTGAGAAGAGGTGATTGCAGGCAGGTTCTGTGGTTTTGACTTGGAATTTGAGAACAACATGAATTTAAAACAAGTTTTAGTTCATAAAAATTTGACTGGACATTATTAGAAGCAGGTTGCAGAACATTTAGGGGCCAATAACACTCTTTGTTTGGCACAGCACACAATACATCTGTAAACAACAATAAAATGTGCATGTGTTATGACATTAGCACATATTCAGGTTTCAAGGCCTCCACAGATTTCTCCCTTTATTCTTCAAAAACTCAGAAAAAGGGCCAAACATCTTCCCGAAGGCAGAACTTCCCCTCAGTCATTAACGTACCAACGAGACAGTGCAGATAACCATCCAGTTAGATACCTGGTGTGATGTCCACAATTTCAATCTATTGTATAATAGATCAGACAGAATGCTCAGATATATTCTGCAGGAAAAAGGTCAGTGCAGTTTGGGGCATAAACACAAACTCACACCTAGATCATGAATCTAACATGAAGAAATGTGTTGTCGCTCATAATACTAACAGGCCCTTCAGTCTACCTCACTCTCATTAGACATCAGTAGAAGTTGGCCTGGCACCCGTATTAGACAGTCATTTAGAATGGTCGTTATCTATATGACAACAGCTGGATGGAACAGAAATGTTGTGTTATTATTTCCATCTTGATGAACATTTATTGACATTAACATTAATGAATTAAGTTACAAAGTCAAACACCACAAGCACACCAAACACAAGAGCACACCAACTTGAGTGAGCTCATTTATCATTTATAGATATAAACACAACATAATAACCTTCTTAGAGTTCGGATTCATTCGAGGAATGTTGTGTTAGACTGCATTTGCTTCTGTCAGGTGTACCTAATAAATTGCCACTGTATCCATACATTAACTCATGTATCAGCCTGGCCAATTTACCTCACTCTAATGAAAGCCTGTGGTAGTCTGCTATGAACTCTGTAGTCCTAAAATCCTGTAGAATTACAACACTTGATCTAATTGTATGCTGTTGTGCATTAGATTGCAGTGTGACCTGTGTCTACCTGCATGACTGCACCTGTCAGGCCCGTCGCTACGATCTGACACCACTGACACTGTGGTTACCTTTATCTTTATTAAATCCCCATGACATAACCCAATGTGGTGACCTTTCTACTTTTCCTAACTTCAATAGTGTGGCAATCCGTCTGCCTACCAACAGCTAATCTTGTTGTTCACACGTTTATCTGAATTCTGTCTGAGCTCAAAGGAGGATCTTTTTTTTTACTACATTTATACAAGTTTCTCTGTGTGTGAAGATGATTTATTACGAGGGTGTATTTTCTGAAACAGTACCATCTTTATCTTTACTGCAGTTTTCCGAAGCTGCTTAATGATGTCACACACATTCACAACGCAGCCGTCTTCAGGAGAAGTACGCCAACGCATAAGATCAGGCAGCGTGTTCAGATATCACATCAATGAGCTAAATCCCTTGTGTCATGCAGATTGTGCCCTTCTCTGATTCATCATTCCACGAGTTATTAAGCAGGATTTCTACACTGACTCTCTGCTAAAATGAAACCCAGGAGCCTCACTAAATGTCAAACGGTGATGAATGATAGACGGAAGCAAAGGAAAGCAATCAGAGTTTTTTCTTGTGGCTCCAGTTGCATCAGAGGACCTCAGCTTTTCTCATGCAGAGACGAACTGTCGTTGTTAGCTGTGAGTGGACCTGGGCCGAGTCAGAAAACTGAAATATCACATGTGCCCTGCCCTGTTCTCTAGATTGTGTGTGTGTTAATCTGAATTTGCTGTTTATATTGTAGTTTGAGGAATGAGAAGACTAATTAGTTATTTTGGTCCTGAAGCCTGGTAGGTGCATTCATAGGAATGGATATGTATGTATGTATTACATATGTTTTCCCTAAACACACGCACACACACATCTTGTTCCCAGTTTCTACTAAAACCACCATGAGATACACTCATGCAGTCTAATAGATTCTGTAACACATCGCAGTTTCCCAAATGTTATAAAGTTCAGATTTGAATGAACAGTTTTAGAGAGATGTTGATTTAACTGTAAGGTTTTCTTTGAGGAGGCACTTCATAGTCTTGTTGATCTGTATTGTGTTATGCAGAGACATTATGTGTTCTCAGTACAAATTAGAATAGTGTTTGGCTTGGAAAACTTTGAAAT